CAAAAAATCAGAACAAAAGGGTGAGCATGCGTACACAAGTTTAGCGACGATCGACAACAACAACGTCAATAAGAAGGTCTGGTGTTTAGATAGCGGTGCTTCCTCACACATGTGTTGTGATCGAAGTTTGTTTTCGACTTTTGAGGAGCATCGAGAAGAAATATCCCTAGCTGGCAAAAAGACAATAGAAGCAAAGGGGAAGGGGAGAGTGCGTATCAACGAGGGTGACGTTGTGCTCAACGATGTGTTGTATGTGCCGAGCCTACAATGCAATTTCTTATCGGTAGGCAGAATAGCGGCAATTCATGATGTAAAATTTGGAAAGAAATGTGCGAGGGTAACTAACAACGGTAAAATTGTGCTGACAGCGAGGAGAGTGGGGAACGTGTTTTTGATCAACAACCCAAGGAAAAAAGTATTTATGGCTGCAGCAACAACAAATGCAAAGAAGTGCAGAAACCGTTACGGTCGACAAAGAGGGGGGAGCCCTCAGCATCAAAAAGAGTCGAATGTGTTTAGAAAACAACAACATAGATGCACAGTTAGGTCAAATTTTGTCGAGCCGTTGTAAGTATGGGATTCAGGGGAAGACAACAAGATGAGTAATGGTTGCATATTATTTAAGATGAAAATTTGTAATGTGTTTACAGAAAGAAATAAATAAAGAATATTTTGATTTTTGGTTTGGATAGTGTCTGGGTATGTGTGTTGAGGGGAAGTGTTGAAGTTATTGAACTCGCACGTTACGTATGTTACAACACACAACCCAGAGTAACTGTGTAGAGATCGCAGAGTGCGAAACACACACTCTAGACGATCACATTCTTAGTGTTAAGTGTACCTAATTAGAATGTAAGTTGTAAATAAACACTCTGTAAATAGCAACCACAAGAAGCAGACGTCTTTTATTTGACAAGCGAGCAGACAAGCCAGAATTAAGTTCAACAGGATGGCCTTAGAAAAAATATTCTTTAAAAAATCCACGCCTTGGATGGCCTTAGAAAAAATATTCTTTAAAAAATCCACGCCTTGGATGGCCTTAGAAAAAAATATTCTTTAACAAATCCACGCCTTGGATGGCCTTAGAAGAAATATTCTTTAAACAATCCACGCCTTGGATGGCCTTAGAAGAAATATTCTTTAAAAAATCCACGCCTTGGATGGCCTTAGAAAAAATATTCTTTAAAAAATACACGCCTTGGATGGCCTTAGAAAAAATATTCTTTAAAAAATCCACGCCTCGGATGGCCTTAGAAAAAATATTCTTTAAAAAAAATCCACCCCTTGGATGGCCTTAGAAAAAAATATTCTTTAAAAAATCCACGCCTTGGATGGCCTTAGAAAAAATATTCTTTAAAAAATCCACGCCTTGGATGGCCTTAGAAAAAATGTTCTTTAAAAAATCCACGCCTTGGATGGCCTTAGAAAAAATATTCTTTAAAAAATCCACGCCTTGGATGGCCTTAGAAAAAATATTCTTTAAAAAATCCACGCCTTGGATGGCCTTAGAAAAAATATTCTTTAAAAAATCCACGCCTTGGATGGCCTTAGAAAAAATATTCTTTAAAAAATCCACGCCTTGGATGGCCTTAGAAAAAATATTCTTTAAAAAATCCACGCCTTGGATGGCCTTAGAAAAAATATTCTTTAAAAAATCCACGCCTTGGATGGCCTTAGAAAAAATATTCTTTAAAAAATCCACGCCTTGGATGGCCTTAGAAAAAATATTCTTTAAAAAATCCACGCCTTGGATGGCCTTAGAAAAAATATTCTTTAAAAAATCCACGCCTTGGATGGCCTTAGAAAAAATATTCTTTAAAAAATCCACGCCTTGGATGGCCTTAGAAAAAATATTCTTTAAAAAATCCACGCCTTGGATGGCCTTAGAAAAAATATTCTTTAAAAAATCCACGCCTTGGATGGCCTTAGAAAAAATATTCTTTAAAAAATCCACGCCTTGGATGGCCTTAGAAAAAATATTCTTTAAAAAATCCACGCCTTGGATGATCTGCGAAAAAGTATTTTTAAAAAATCCATGCTTAGATAGTATTATATTTTTTTTTAATCCACGCCTTATATGGTTGTGGAATTTTTTTTAAATCCACAAGTTTTCGAGGTTCCCAATTCCTTAATTTTAAAAATCTTTTCCTTCCATGACACTTCATAATTTTTACATTCACAATATTCAATATTTAACCCATATTTAGGACTTCATTTTTCATTTCACTTCTCAAAACTCAAAAAAAAAATTATATTTTCAATTAAAAACGTTTTAATGTCTGTCACGCCGTCGCAATTCAATGACGAAGAAAAAAATAAGCAAACCCAAAAAATTACCTCACTTCGTCATTCTCAAATTACACGAAACTTGAAATAAACTGAAATTTGTTTACAAAACTCAATAATTTTTCACTTTTTTCGGTACAACATTACCGTTGTGTGTCGTGGTCATCATCATCATCATCAACAATTTCAATACACATTTCATACAATTTTTCTTCCCTGTCCGATCTTCATTGACCAGTGCTCTCCATGATAACCATAAAAACGTGTTAACTTTCAAGTCCAACTTGAAAATTTGTTTGGTTTGTTGTACAACATAAGCTCCGAATAATATCGTCATTTGCGGGGCAAAAAATTATCAACGCCATCGTCGTCATCTTTGCTGTGGCGGGGCTGTTGTGGCTGGCGGTGGTGGTTACTCCAGTGGTTGGTTGGTCCAAACTACTACGATTTTTGGTCGCACATAATCGCATTTTATTTAGCTTTAGTTGTTGTTTTCGAAATGAAATTAAAGTGTTTTCTTTTAAATTGAAATTGAAAGGAAGTGAAAGTCAATTAATGTTACATTAATCAGACATGCGAACGAACAGATCGGCTAAAACCTACAAACCCACTAAAAACGCACAGCTGTCGATAATTCTTAATGTAATGGACAGAAAGATCATATTTCACAATCATTTTGTATGTTTTGGGGAGGAGTGTCTTCAAAAAATATTCTTTTAAAAATCCACGCCTTGTAGAGGCTCTTCAAAAGATATTCTTTTAAAAATCCACGCCTTGTAGAGGCTCTTCAAAAGATATTCTTTTAAAAATCCACGCCTTGTAGAGAACCTCAAAAAATATACTTTTAAAAATCCACGCCTATTGGTCTATGAGTATGAAAAAATATACTTTTAAAAATCCACGCCTATTGGTCTGATGATGTATGAAAAAATATACTTTTAAAAATCCACGCCTATTGGTCTGATGATGTATGAAAAAATATACTTTTAAAAATCCACGCCTATTGGTCTGATGATGTATGAAAAAATATACTTTTAAAAATCCACGCCTCTAAGTATACCTTGAAATATATACTTTTAAAAATCCACGCCTTGTAGAGAACCTCAAAAAATATACTTTTAAAAATCCACGCCTTGTAGAGAACCTCAAAAAATATACTTTTAAAAATCCACGCCTTGTAGAGAACCTCAAAAAATATTCTTTTAAAAATCCACGCCTTGTAGAGAACCTCAAAAAATATTCTTTTAAAAATCCACGCCTTGTAGAGAACCTCAAAAAATATTCTTTTAAAAATCCACGCCTTGTAGAGGCTCTTCAAAAATATTCTTATAAAAATCCACGCCTTGTAGAGGCTCTTCAAAAATATTCTTATAAAAATCCACGCCTTGTAGAGGCTCTTCAAAAATATTCTTATAAAAATCCACGCCTTGTAGAGGCTCTTCAAAAATATTCTTATAAAAATCCACGCCTTGTAGAGGCTCTTCAAAAATATTCTTATAAAAATCCACGCCTTATAGAGGTTCTTCAAAAGATATTCTTTTTAAAATCCACGCCTTGCAGAGACCCTCGAAAAATATTATTTTAAAAATCCACGCCTTGTAGAGGCTCTTCAAAAATATTCTTTTAAAAATCCACGCCTTGTAGAGGCTCTTCAAAAATATTCTTTTAAAAATCCACGCCTTGTAGAGGCTCTTCAAAAATATTCTTTTTAAAATCCACGCCTTGTAGAGGCTCTTCAAAAATATTCTTTTTAAAATCCACGCCTTGTAGAGACCTTCAAAAAATATTCTTTTTAAAATCCACGCCTTGTAGAGACCTTCAAAAAATATTCTTTTTAAAATCCACGCCTTGTAGAGGCTCTTCAAAAATATTCTTTTAAAAATCCACGCCTTGTAGAGGCTCTTCAAAAAAATTCTTTTAAAAATCCACGCGTTGTGGAGGCTATTCAAAAATATTCTTTTAAAAATCCACGCCTTGTGTAGGCCCTCAAAAAATATTCTTTTAAAAATCCACGCCTTGTGGAGACCTAAAAAATATTCTCATAAAAATTCACGCTTTGTATAGACCCTCAAAAAATATTCTCATAAAAATCCACGCCTTGTAGAGACCCTCCAAAAATATTCTTTAATAATTCTAACTCTACCTTCCTCATATGTTATCGATTTTTTTTTCATGGCATCCCCAAAGTTTTTTTTCCTTCCTGTCATCAAGAATGTCAACACTTAAAGTTCCACTTGAAATATTTCCACCCTTAAGAAGCGATTCTTGTTACCCTTTTTTTAGGAAATAGTTGGCATTTTTTTCTTTCACATTTGCCATAAAATATTAAAGTCACACTTGTGGCAGGCAGGCTTCGGGGCTTCAGTCAGTTTTTTTTTTTTCTGGTGCGTACCTTTCTTTGAAGTGTTAATATTTCATGAATGTTGTGGCCTGGCCTGTTGCTTTTCATTATCCTTTGAAATATGCAAAGCTCTCGAAAGGATATCCATTACATAAACATGTGGCCTGTCTGCCTGCCTTTTGGGTTTTCAGGACGAGACATGTCTAATAAAAATAACAACTCAATTATTGTCGAAAGGAGGTAATAAAAAATTATGTACTGGAATTATGATCCTGCTATAAAAATGTCCTTAATTTTTAAAGGCTTCATTCCGCAGAAAAAAAAATAATTTTTGTTATTAAAAATTTCCAATTTTTTCTCCATTTCATTGCAGCGTCGTCGTGAACGTGGCCGCATACCGGTTAAGGGTGTTCGTCTCGTCGAAGTAGCCACAGTTAATGGTGAAGGTGGAGATCCTTTTGCACCGGATGTGAGTACCAATTTTTTTCGAACCTCTATTTTTTATTTGATTTCATTTTCAATTTAATTATTTGTTAATGTATTTTCCATGTCTGTCCCGCAGGGTTATCCTTTCCAAGTAGGCTATTGTGAATCAACAGATGATCAATCACAGCGTACCGTTCCTCAGTATACCCTGTATTTGGTAGCCAACAGTGAAAAGGAACGACACGATTGGATACGTGCCATACGACAAGGTAAGTAGAGGTTACAAGGATATGATAGGATTTCTTTTTTTACTTCGCAAAGGAAGTGATTTTTTGGAAGATAATTCAGATTTTTAAATTCATTTTTATACCCTTCACCACACTGTGGCACAGGGTATTATGTCTTTGTGCATATGTTTGTAACCAGCAAAAGTAATCGAGGTAGACCCAAGGTTTCTTTTGAGAATATGCAGAGAATCACTTTCTGAGTCGATTTATGCATGTCCGTCCGTCCGTCTGTCCATGTTAAATTGTAAACAAAGTACAGGTCGCATTTATGATCCGAATTGGATGAAATTTGGCACAACTCATTTGTTTGGCCCAAGGACGAACCCTATTGAAATTGGGAAAAATCGGTTCAGATTTAGATATAGCTCCCATATATATTTTCGTCCAATTTAAGGTAAATGGAGTACCAAAGTCCCTATATATCGTTCTATTTGCACGAAATTTGGTATAGCCTACTGAATTAGGTCTAGAATGATGTGTGCTAAGTTTCGTGAAAATCGGTCAAGATTTAGATATAGTTCCCATATATATTTTCATCCGATTTAAGGTAAATGTTGTATCAAAGTTCCTTAATATCTTTCGATTTGCATGAAATTTGGTACAGCGCAATGAATTAGGTCTAGAATGATGTGTGCTAAATTTCGTGAAAATCGGTTCAGTTTTAGATATAGCTCCCATATATAGTTTCGCCCGATTTTAGGTAAGTGCACCAAAGTCCGTGAACATCATTTGATTTGCACGAATTATGGCATAGCGTATTGGATTAAGTCTAGAATGACGTGTGCTAAGTTTCGTGAAAATCAGTTCAGATTTAGATACAGCTCCCATATATATTTTCGTCGGATTTAAGGTAAATGGGGTACAAAAGTACCTATATATCTTTCGATTTGCACGTAATTTGGTATAGCCTACTGAATTAGGTCTAGAATGATGTGTGCTAAGTTTCGTGAAAATCGGTTCAGATTTAGATATAGCTCCCATATATATTTTCGTCCGATTTAAGGTAAATGGGGTACCAAAGTCCCTATATATCTTTCGATTTGCACGAAATTTGGCATAGCCTACTGAATTATGTCTAAAATGATATGTGCTAAGTTTGGTGAAAATCGGTTCAGATTTAGACATAGCTCCCATATGTAGTTTCGTCCGATTTAAGTTAAATGGAGTGCCAAAGTCCCTATATATCGTACGATTTGCACGAAATGTGAATTAGGTCTAGAATGATGTGTGCTAAGTTTAGTGAAAATCGGTTCAGATTTAGATATAGCTCCCATATATATTTTCATCCGATTTAATGTAAATGGTGGACCAAAGTCCCTATAATTCTTTCGATTTGCGCAAATTTGTCACAGCGCAATGAATTAGGTCTAGAATGATGTGTGTTTTTGTACTTATATTTAATTTAATTTATATTTTCCCCAATTTATTCCAAAAGGGAATGTCACGCAAGCGGAAAAAGGTGTGTTGGTGTAAAAACACCTCCTCCTACTACAACAACACATACAGCAAATTATATATTTTTGTGGCTTTGTGGTTTTACACTTGTTTAAATAGTTGTTAATTTTTCTAACGGTTATTATTATGTTTTCCTCTTTCTCCCCAGCCTCATGAGAAAGTTTGCCAGGCCCCTCCAACCATTTTTGGCCATTATTTGCAGGTATTGAGGTTTTTGTGGATTCTTTTTTGGCCGCTTGATTTGATTAGATTTTGTTCTTCTTGGTTAGGCAATATTGGTTTATGATTACACCGAAGAGGTGGAGGAGAAGAAGATAGTTGGAAGATGTGTTATTCCATGGTGTAGCAATGCCATCATCATAATATGGTGGTATCTTGTGGTGTGGCTGGTTGGCTGCCTGGCAGAATGCTGAGAATGATGGTGTTGTCGACAAAGACGTCGATGGTGATGATGCCGATGATGATGCTACTAATGTCGTGATCTTTTGACTCTTGATAATTTGAACTATTCGTTTATGTATTGACCCAAATTCTAATCCTGTAGAAAATTTTTCTTGAAGCTTGCCCTCTGTTGTCTCTGGTGTCTCCACCTCAACCATTCTCAGCTTGGTGTATAGTCTCTTTTTATGATTCCCTCCATTGATGTGGGTTATCTTAACGAAGTTTTCTTGTTTTTTGGTTGGACTTAAATTTCATTATCTTTGTTGCTTTTCTGAGCTACTCCCCACCAGTTTTCATTAAACGATAGTTGCTGGTGTTTTCTAGTTTAAGATTTTTTTATATGAATTTTATTTCTTAACTATTTTTCGTTAATTTGATAGGCTGAGTATGTTTAACGATTATTGGCTTTCTTTGCCGCCTTATTTTTAATTTAACTTTTATGTTGGCTTTTATGGCACTTTTCTCACTATCAATATTTTTTTTTTCAATAAAAATATTGTCGGAGGTACCATTTAAGAGCAGTAGACAGTATTTATAATGTCATAAAAACTAGTAGACATTTATATAAATATGATTTTAAAATAATTTAGTAAAAGGTTTTATGAGTATTAAAAAATATAAAATGGTTATGTTTAAAAAAATCACTGCAGGAAGCCTCGGAAAATATTCTAAACTAGCATATACCCGATACTTCGTTAGCGAATGTGGGAAGTATTTAAAACCCAATATCAAACATTATTAACACTTCTGGAACCATTTAGTACCTATGTACTCCTATAGTACGTTTTTCTAAAACTACCTCCATATCTCAACTCTACACACCAATTCTGACCGCAAAACTAATTTAGCTCTATACAAAATTTGTCGTCATTTTTTACTTTTTGTACTCGTGTAAAATTTCCAAATTTCAAATTAAGTACCAGTTAGTAAACATTAATATAAATTGCCATTACTTGCAATGGAAATCATGCAATCCAATGGAAATCTTAATACTCAATTTCTGGATTCCAGCTCTATCGGTTAGCTTCTAATCCAAACTGTACCAAATTTAGTGTTATTTAGTACATATTAGTAAACATCCCTATCCTACTCCCCAACAGTGATCCTTACTTCAAATTTCAATATTCTAGCTCTGTCGGTTCACTCAAATCCACATTTGGTACTGTTTTGTAACATTAGTACAAATTTTCAAAACTTCCTACAAAGATCAATTTTACACCCCAACTGTAACCCTAACTCAAAATTTCAGGATTCCAGCTGTATTGGTTCACCCAAAATTTTAATTGTACAAAACTAAGTACACATTAGTACGAACTTCCTACAAAGTTCAGTCCTACATTCTAACAGTGATTCTACCATCAAATTTCAAGATTCCAGCTCTATCGGTTCACCCAGATCCACATTTGGTACCATTTAGTACAAATTTCCAAAATTTTCTACGTAGCTCAATCTTACATCCAATTGTATCAAATTTAGTACAAATTTCCCTTACTACCTACATAATTAATTTCAATGGAAATCTTATTAATAAATTTCAGGATTCCAGCTCTATCGGTTAACTTTTAATCCAAATTGTACCAAATTTAGTGTCATTTAGTAGACATTTCCAAAACTTTCCACATACCCCAATCCAACACCCCAACCGTGATCCTAACTACACATGTCAAGATTCCAGCTCTATCGGTTCCCTCAAATCCCTATTTGTACCATTTTGTACACATTGGAATAAATTTCCAAAACTTTTTAAATATCCCAATCCTATACACTAACAGTATCCCTATCTCCAAATTTCAGGATTCCAGCTGTATTGGTTCACCCAAAATCTAAATTGTACAAAATTAAATACACATTAGTATGAACTTCCTACAAAGCCCAATCCTACAATCCAACAGTGATCCTAACACCAAATTTTAAGATTCCAGCTCTATCCGTTCACCCAAATCCACATTTGGTACTATTTTGTACACATTAGTATAAGTATCCAAAATATTCTACGTAGCCCAATCCTACATCCCAACAGTAACCCTAAAGCCAAATTTCTGGTTTCCATATGTATTTGTTCAACAAAAATTTAATTTGTACCAAATTTAGTACACATTAGCACGAATTTCCAAAACTTTCTGCAAAGCCAAACCCTACACCCCAACAGTGATTCTAACATCAAATTTAAAGATTCCAGCTCTATCGGTTCACTCATATACAAATTTGGTACCATTTAGTACAAATTAGTATGAATTTCCAAAATTTTCTACATAGCTCAATACTACATACTAACAAAGATCGTAACTCCAAATTGCAGGATTCCAGCTCTATCAGTTCACACAAAATTCAAATTGTACCAAATTTAGTACCCTTACCTTATTTCCAAATTTCAAGATTTCCAGCTCAATTGGTTCACATAAAAGTTAACTTGTACCAAATTTATTACACATTAGTACGAATTTCCAAAACTTTCCACAAAGCCCAATCCTACACCGCAAAAGTGATCCGAACGTCAAATTTCAAAATTTCAGCTCAATCGGTTCACTCAAACCCGCATTTGGTACCATTTAGTTACAAATTTCCAAAACTTCATCTCATCGGTTCACCCAAAATTTAGTTCACATTAGTAGGAATTTCCAAAATGTCCTAAATAGCTCAATTCTACCCCAACAATGACCCTAACTCCGAATGTAAAGCTTCCAGCTCTATCGGTTCACCCAAATCCAAATTTGGTACCATTTAGTACACATTAGTACGAATTTTCAAAATTCTCTACATACCATAATCCTACACCCCAAAAGTGATCCTGACTCCAAATTGCATTGTTCCAGCTCTATCGGTTCACCCAAATCCATATTGTACCAATTATAGTACGATTTAGTACTTTTCGTACACATAAGCAAAAAAAAAAAAAAAAAAAAAATCCAAAACAACGACATATCCCAATCCTAAACTTCGACGGTAATGTTAATTTAAATTTTCAGGATTCCAACTCGATTTGTACCTCCAAATTAAATTTGTACCGAATATAGTACCATATAGTACTTTTCGTATACATAAGTACACGCTTCCAAAGCCAGTTCCTTATATCGACCCTGCTTCTCAACCTTAATTTGTATTCCAATTTTCAAATTTTTACATGCTACGAAATTGTAATAAATTTAGTACATTTGAGTACTTTTCGCATACTTATAGTTCGAATGCCCCACGCCAGTTACGAATCCTCAAAAATATTTTTTTTAAAAATCCACGCCTGTTGTGGACCTTCAAAAATATTCCTTAAAAATTTCACGCCTTGTAGAGACCCTCGAAAAATGTTCTTTAAAAAATCCACGACACCTCAAAAATAATTTGTAAAAAAACAACACCTTATCGGACACCCACAAAATAATTTTTGAAAAAAATTCAATATATTTTTAAATTCCGTACATTTTGCAGAACCCTCAGTATTTTAATTGATTTTTTGTTTTTAATTTGTTTCTTTCCAGTTTGTGAGGACACCAACACACCCAAATCATATCGTTTTCATCCTGGTCTCTGGTCGGGCAAACGATGGTCCTGCTGTAAGGGCATTAGTCGAGCAACATTTGGCTGTCAGGCGGCAACACATTGGCGCGAAACCAACAATAATCCAAGTAAGTTCTGAAAATAAATTTTAAAATTCCATAGACAAAAATTCCGCGGAGGATAACAAATTACCCTGCAGCTAATAGGTAATACCGCCAAAAAACGTCACACTATTTAACTTATCCACCTATCCATTCATTCACCTGCCTGACAGCAGGGCATTTGATGATGATGATGAGGTACGTGTGAAACGATTTTGGAATACATTTTTTCGAGCAGGGAACCGAACAAAAAAGGAAACCTAATTAATACACAAAACTGCTGTCTAGGCAGGTTGCCTACCAGGCTGCCTGCCTAGACTGTGCTGGAGTGCATTCGATCGGTCTATTTGTTTGTTGTCTGTGCCTGTGCCTGGGCGAGTCCGTCCTACTCCTAAGCAGGAAATGCGTGCCATACATCACAATTTCGGTTCAGTGTTTTTATTTTCTTTTCTATTTCGTCTTTTTCTTCTGCTTGTAGTCCGTCCATCTTCTTGTTGTTCTGCATCCATGATGTACTGGTGGTGGATGATGTTGGTGTTTAACTTTTGATGACTTTGTGCTACTCTATTCCGCTCCTCTTTACATCAAATCATCATTTGTTAGTGTCGTAATTCTTTTTTGTTCGATTTCCATTTCTTTCCACTTCATTTGGTTTTCAAGAAATATTATTATAATTTTTTTACCCATTTTTTTGTGGACTTTATGACCTCCATGGCCTTTCAGTAGATTTTCTTCTTCTTCGTTTTTCGATTTTCCTATTCAAATGGAAATTTATTTTTCTAAAGAGAATTTATAACCGCAACAAATTTGACTTCATCTTCGGCATAGACAAGTAATTTTCATTATTTGAGATTCTTGGATTAGACACATACAAATTGTGGTCGGCGTAATTTATTCGGGTACTGATTATTTAAGAAAAAAATTATGTATCTTTAGGCTACCTTAAAATGACATGAATCAATAATTAATTAAAGGAATAATTTATCCAAATTACCTCTTGAGTAGCCTTTTGGAGGCTTCTGTGGAAAATATTCTTTAAAAAAATCCCCACCTCAAAAATATTCTGGAATACAGGCCCTCAAAATATATTCTTGAAAAAAATCCCCACCTTGTAGACCCTCAGAGGCCCTCAAAAAATATTCTTGAAAAAATTCCCACCTTGTATTCTTAAGAAATCCACGCCTTGGCCTTGGCTAGACCCAGAAAAAATATTCTTAAGAAATCCACGCCTTGGCCTTGGCTAGACCCAGAAAAAATATTCTTAAGAAATCCACGCCTTGGCCTTGGCTAGACCCAGAAAAAATATTCTTAAGAAATCCACGCCTTGGCCTTGGCTAGACCCAGAAAAAATATTCTTAAGAAATCCACGCCTTGGCCTTGGCTAGACCCAGAAAAAATATTCTTAAGAAATCCACGCCTTGGCCTTGGCTAGACCCTGAAAAAATATTCTTAAGAAATCCACGCCTTGGCCTTGGCTAGACCCAGAAAAAATATTCTTAAGAAATCCACGCCTTGTAGAGACCCTGAAAAAAATTTTCCTTAAAAAAATATTCCTTGAAAAATCCACGCCTTGTAGAGACCCTGAAAAAATATTCTTTAAAAATCCACGCCTTGTAGAGACCCTGAAAAAATATTCTTTAAAAATCCACGCCTTGTAGAGACCCTGAAAAAATATTCTTTAAAAAATCCACGCCTTGTAGAGACCCTCATAAATATTCCTTAAAAAATCCACGCCTTGTAGAGACCCTCATAAATATTCCTTAAAAAATCCACGCCTTGTAGAGACCCTCATAAATATTCCTTAAAAAATCCACGCCTTGTAGAGACCCTCATAAATATTCCTTAAAAAATCCACGCCTTGTAGAGACCCTCATAAATATTCCTTAAAAAATCCACGCCTTGTAGAGACCCCCATAAATATTCTTTAAAAAATCCACGCCTTGTAGAGACCCTCATAAATATTCTTTAAAAAGTCCACGCCTTGTAGAGACCCTCATAAATATTCTTTAAAAAGTCCACGCCTTGTAGAGACCCTCATAAATATTCTTTAAAAACTCCACGCCTTGTAGAGACCCTCATAAATATTCTTTAAAAAATCCACGCCTTGTAGAGACCCTCATAAATATTCCTTAAAAAAACCACGCCTTGTAGAGACCCTCATAAATATTCCTTAAAAAATCCACGCCTTGTAGAGACCCTCATAAATATTCCTTAAAAAATCCACGCCTTGTAGAGACCCCCATAAATATTCTTTAAAAAATCCACGCCTTGTAGAGACCCTCATAAATATTCTTTAAAAAGTCCACGCCTTGTAGAGACCCTCATAAATATTCTTTAAAAAGTCCACGCCTTGTAGAGACCCTCATAAATATTCTTTAAAAACTCCACGCCTTGTAGAGACCCTCATAAATATTCTTTAAAAAATCCACGCCTTGTAGAGACCCTCATAAATATTCCTTAAAAAAACCACGCCTTGTAGAGACCCTCATAAATATTCTTTAAAAAGTCCACGCCTTGTAGAGACCCTCATAAATATTCTTTAAAAACTCCACGCCTTGTAGAGACCCTCATAAATATTCTTTAAAAAATCCACGCCTTGTAGAGACCCTCATAAATATTCCTTAAAAAAACCACGCCTTGTAGAGACCCTCATAAATATTCTTTAAAAAGTCCACGCCTTGTAGAGACCCTCATAAATATTCTTTAAAAAGTCCACGCCTTGTAGAGACCCTCATAAATATTCTTTAAAAAATCCACGCCTTGTAGAGACCCTCATAAATATTCTTTAAAAAATCCACGCCTTGTAGAGATTCTCAAAAAATATTCCTTTAAAAAATACCCACCTTGTAGGGGCGCTCAAAAAAAAAATCCTTAAAAAAATCCACGCCTTGTAGAGACCCTCAAAAAATATTCCTTTAAAAAATACCCAATTTGTAGAGGCCCTCGAAAAAATTTCTTTAAAAAATCTACGCCTTGTAGAGACCCTCGAAAAATATTCTTTAAAAAAATCAACTCTTTGTAGAGACCCTTTGAAAACTATTCTTTAATAAATCCACGCCTTGGAGAGTTTTGAATTGAATGTTTTCCATCTTGAAGGTCATATTTTTTTAAATGTATTTTTATTTGAAAAATTATCCTCTGTCATCCCTTAGGGGGATCTTTCCCATTGTTCCGAATGGGATCTCAAAGCTCCATTCAGCCAACGTTTTAACAATATTATCTGTCATTTCCTCCTACATTTGTCCCTATTCGTATTTTTCGGGAAATTGTGCATCACATCTATCCATCCGACCATCCATCCATTTGTCTGAGTATCTGGGTGTGTGCCTGCATTGGGACATTTGTGTGAAACAGTAGCCGCCAAAAATTGGTCTCCCACCATCACCATCCGAACCGAACCAAATGTGACTCTATGAGAATGATTCCCCCAGAGTTAAAGTAAATATCCGCAAATATCCGAAACTGAAACAAAAACAACAAAAAAAGCGAAATTGTTTGCAAGCGTGTTAATGCAACACACGGGACATATATCACTTTAGTCATGCTCTGCGGTGACTGGCGGTGGCTGGATGACTGACTGCTTGGATGGCTTGCTTGCAGGCAGGCTGACTGGTTGGCTAGCTTGCCGGCAGACACAAATGTAATTTCGATATGGTTGCGAATGTTGCGGTTACAATTCGAGACAAGCGATGGGGATAATGTGGATATGTCTCTGCTGCTACTGTGTACAGAAGTGGCAACCAACCTACCATCCGCACACAGATGATGGAAGCTGCCAATGGAGTTGTTTTTTTCGTTATGGGATTCGGTTGATCTTAAATTTGTAGCTTCACACTAGCCACCCATTAGAGTTTTTTCGCTATTCGTTTTTGCTACTTCTCAAATGATTACATCTTCTAGTTAAATATCTCTTCCCAGCATCCTTGTCTCCATCATCATCACCTCACCTCCTCAGTTTGTTTGATTTTTGTGGTGTGTCAGAATATTATTTTTAAAATTTTTAAAGCCATAACGATTTAAACCACCTCCTTCTTTACTTCTTGTCCGATTTTTTTACGCCATCGAAGAGTGGTGTGTATGTTTGTTCGTTAGTAAATTAGTTGGGATTTGTTGTAATTTATTGCAAATTGTATTTTTTCAGCTTAGAAAATTTTCATTATGACTGATGTTGGGGAGGAGGATTCAGGGCGGAAAAATTGTTTCTCAGCAATCAATCAAAGGATTAGAGTAGCCCTTAGAAAATTACTAAAATTCCTTTGGAATTCTCATAAATTTGTCATGGCTATACATTTTTAGGAAATTATTTTGCTATGATTCATTCATAAAATCAGAGTGTGGGGGTAGGAGGCCGATAGCCTGTGGAGATATATTTCTACAAAATCCGAAAAATATTTCAGTTCTTTGACAAGTATTTCAATCAAATCTGCCCCATGGAGATCGATATCCGTGTCTAAAAAAATTATCCCTTGGATGTCCATTGTCCCTCGATATATATTCATTATAAAGACACACCTTTATGGCTGATAGTCCTTCCATAACATTGAAAAAAATATCGCTCATAGGAGGCCGATAAGCTATCAAGGAATATTACTACAAATTTCAGGCAGTGGAGAAATATTCTGGGCTCTCCAAATATATTCCTAACAAAAATTCACAACTGAGAGTCCTACGAAATATTGCAAAAAACCGGTTCTAGGAGACCGATAGCCTGCGGAAAAATATTCCTAGAAAATACGAAAAATATTTCAGTTCTTCAACAAGTATTTCAATCTGCTCCACGGAGATGGATATCCCTGTTTAAAAAAATTATCCCTTGGAGGTCCATAGTCCTTCGATATATATTCTATAGGAATACACACTTTGATGGCTGATAGAACTTCCAAAAATATTGCAAACAAATCCGCTCATAGAACACCGCTAAGCCGTCGAGAAATATTTCTACAAAATCAGAAATCTGGAGAATTATTCAGGGCCCTCCAAAAATATCCCTAAAAGAAACCCACGACAGAGAATCCTACGGAAAATAT